GGAACCATTTTTAGAGAAGACAATATTTTTCGTCGCAATCCGGATTCGAACCCGAGGCCTATTGAATGCGATGTCTTAACCTCTAGACCATGGGAGTCCCCTCAATATTTTGTTTTGTTTATGTTATAGAATGTATTAAATTATGATGTAACCACTATGCATAAAAGAGAAGTCAGCCATACTGCGAGGGTTTTTTAAAGATGAATTCAGCACAATAAAGTTTCTTTCGAAATTTTGAAGTTCAATTCAGAAGACTGGTCATTCATCTTAAAGGGGCAACTAGGGAGGGTGTGTGTGGGCGCCCGCGCCCGCGCGCGCTTGTGTGTGTGTGTGTGTGTGTGTGTGTGTGTGTGTGTGTGTGTGTGTGTGTCAGTGTCTGTTTGTGTGTTTGTGTGTGTGTGTGAGTGTTTGTGTGTGTGTGTGTGTGTGTGTGTGTGTGTTTGTCAGTGATAGAGAGGGGGAGAAAGACAGAGAGAGAGAGAGAGAGAGAGAGAGAGAGAGAGAGAGAGAGAGAGAGAGGGAGGGGTGACAACAGATACGTCGGCAATGTTTAGAAAGTGAAGGGTTTTTTTTTTTAATTTGGTGGGGGGAGGGGGGGGGAGGTGAAATATTTTTGATGATAGTTTCACAATGGAAAAATATAATGACAGTAAAACGTCGTCAGCATAAAGAAAAAGAAAAGAAACCCAACAACGACAAGAACAAGAATACTAGAAAAAACTAGAAAACAAAACAAAAATTAATAATAAGAAATAGAAAATGAAACAGAAAGTAAAACAGTAACCTGATGACAAATAAAAAGTAAGCCTTACCGAGTTAAGGTTTGTTTTCCTGTGTATACCGTCAGCGCATGCTGTTTCAAGTCCTCGTCTGACCACTATTTTGTCGAAAATCTGTTCTTGACAGCTGTCTCCCCTCCCTATTTATTTCTCTCTCTGTCTCTCTCTCTGTCTCTCTCTGTCTGTCTGTCTCTCTCTCTCTCTCTCTCTCTCTCTCTCTCTCTCTCTCTCTCTCTCTCTCTTTCTGTGTGTGTGTGTGTGTGTGTGTGTGTGTGTGTGTGTGTGTGTGTGTGTGTGTGTGTGTGTGTGTGTGTATCGGTTTCGTTCTGTCGCTGTCTCCCTCTCTGCCCGTCTCTGTCTCTGTATCTCCACCCCACCCCCTCTCTCTTTCTGGACTGCAAGGCGAGCGCGTACGCATGCCAACCTGCTTTCCTGTGACCTTAAATTCGCTTCGAGTGATCAGATAGGTTTAGTTACTGGACTGCAAATAGGTTGGATTAATTAACCTTTATTATTTTTAGACAGATATAATGTGATAGTAGAACCTTACATAGATGAGATTCTATGACATATATAAATAAAACATTCCACGCAGTCATATTGAATACTTCTCAGCTGACGTGCACTGATAATAATATGTGTCACTACGCGGTGGAATCAGGAGCTCGTCAAATTTTCCCCACGTTTAGTTATTGGTACCACTTTAAAGATTGTTCATTTTTCTTGCTTTTGTTGCAAAAAATATCCATCTATCACGAATAGAAATTGAGTTTATTTTGCGATTGAAGGAGGTCGGCGTCGCCTGTTTTTAGAAGTAAAATTAGAGATGAAATGGCCACCAAAGTTTGGTGATTTCCAAAGCTTGAGAGTCCTTAAAAACTGAGAATTTACATTTATTGTTGTGTCTTTGATCAATGTTTTTCAGCATAATTCACTCAGAAATGTTGTTTTTTTCAAGGGCATGAACGGTGTTTAGCCAAAAACCAAAAATTCGGTAAACATTCCTAAACCCTCAGGAACATGCCAGTTTCTTGACTTTCATGATTTTGACGAGTGCCTAATTTCCCCACGTGGTCTCACATATTGTATTTGTTTTGTCGAATGTTTTGAACTTGCTATATGAGACGCCAAGTGAAATGTCGGTGTTCTAAAGTAATGGCAGCAGTGTAACATTTCGCAAGACCACTTGATATCACGAATTACTTAAAACAAATAGCAAGTTGCCCGCGATACAAATAAATGTGTATACTATGAATCAAATATTCTGTATAGAAAGATAGTTCACTCGTCTGTTTGAACCAATTAAAAAGTATCCTCAATCCTCCTAAATCTTTTTTTGGGGGAGATCTGTACCAAATTTAAAAGGAATTGTGTTTGATCATGCAGACTCCTCAATCTACGGTCAAATTTGGTCACTTTTAAGGACAAGCGGGCCAGCCCAGATTTCGGGGGGGGGGGGTTCCAGAAATCTTGACTTACACCAAAAATGGGCATTGCCCTACATATAGGATACGTTTGGCTTCATTGTGAGTAGATATTTGTTTTTGGTTAAAGAGAAAACTCTCCTTGTCTTTTAAAGAAACTGAACAAGGGGGCAAACACTTTACCTTCGGTATTATCAAAACAGCATTAATTTTCCTGGATAGCCCCCTTTTGCTTAAAGACGACCATTTGAACTGGTCAATCAAGCACCACTACATCAGCCATGTCTTGGGGTAACCCAGAGGGGGGCCTTTGACCTTAAAAGTACTCTAAAAAGTCAGAAAAGCAGCTTCAAACCGGTTACAGGGGGCAGTAAAGGAGTTGATTCCAAATCTAGACCTAGTGCTCTCTGAAGAAAGACCAGTTTCGGCGTGGTGCAAAAAGTTCAATGTTGGACAGGGAAAGGAGTAAGCATTTACAAAACGGTGCTAAATTTGGAATCAGATTATCGTACGTCGGTCGTGACAACGCCAAATACGTCACATAGTAGTGAGTTAGGAGTATCACTTTTTTTTTTCTTAATACATGAAGGTGCTTTTTACGTCCGCATCGACACAATGTAGATCCTTTGGGCTTTGGAGGCGAGCTTCAACCCTGCCTGTCAAGGCCAACCTAGACTGAGAGGAATGCCGTATCCCAGCATAAAGCCCGAGATACACGATTTAAAAACAAAACAAAAAACATTCTCATGAATCGAGCTCGAATCTCCAGCATACTCTAAGGTATCGAATAAGCGACCCCACCTCCCGCTTCTTATTCCATAACTCCCCCCACCCCCCACCCCCCCCCAATCCCCCGTTTATCATATTCCAGCTTGCCACGACTGATGATCTTAAGAAACATTATAATCTAGAATCTAGATATTTGAATGAAACTTCTTTTTTTATATAACTTTTAATAGCAAATTAGCCTAAATAATGAGGTATTGTATCGGTACATGTACCAGGTGGGCTACCTCAATTTTCTTTGCATTTTTATAACTTTTGTACGACGGTTTATATTTTTGTTATGAAACTGATTTGTTCCTAAATGGGAAAGTGGTCTCAGTAACTTACTAAAATCTCTAAAATTTCATGATCTCTTGTTCTTTTGTTCACTGAAGGAAAAAAAAAAGATTTGTTCTTTCTAGTACAAGGGTATGAGGTTGAATGTGTCACCCCTCTCCTGCACCTTTTTTTTATTCCAGCCTCACCCCCCTCCTTGTGCACCCCCCTCCCTTTTATTCCTACCCCCCCCCCCCCCCCAACTATTTTTTATTCGATAGGTTAGAGTAAGAGGGCGAAACGAAAAACGGTACCGCTACACCTCAGACGGCGGTTATGTCGCTTTTTAAGAATTGACTTTTTCGTACCGACCACCTACGTGTATTACAAAAACACAGAGTTAATTAACTCAGCTTGTCAATTCACCGGAGACACCCCCCCCCCCCCCCATCTTAACAAAACCACCGATTCGCTGACAAATGGACATGGTCGCAACTTTTATGCGGCGAGGAAGTCATAAATGAATGGGGTTTGTTAAAAATGGATGTTTCTTCACAAGGTTCTAAAATTAGAAACTAATCAATTTATTGACTTCAACGAGCCTGATTTATACAGCACCTGTGAGCTCACTCGGGGTAAAACTTCATTGATTTCTTTAACTTAAGACAACAACTGGTGTTAATGGAATACACACGTCAGTGGTGGAGGGGTTGAGTGCTAACCGGCCCAAGCAGAGGAACATGGGTTCGATTTTTGCGTGGGGCAGGAGGTTTTTTTCTTAAGGCTGATGATTATATATTATTTACATAAACCTAACCCTAACAATGACCATAACCCCAACCTTAACCCTCATCCTAATCCTAACCCCAACCCTGACGCTGACTCTAACCTTAACCCCAACCTTCAAACTTAACCCCAATTCTAGCCTTAACCCAAATACAAACCCAAATCCTAACTCTAACCTTACGCCCATCCCCAACCCCAGCCCAGCCTCAACCCTAACCCTAACCCTAACTCTAACCTTAACCCTAACACAAACCCTAACCCACACCCTGACCGTCTTACCTAAATATACATAGATCTGTTACGATCTGACCCACTTTTTGGGGTGAACCAAAGATCTTCCACGACGAGATAGCTCAACAAGCCAAACAAAAAATTAATGTTTATGGCCATAAGCACTTTATTCTCAGATGGCTCTACAGTGGATGTTTTGAAGCTTCTCAGATGGCTCTACAGTCTACAGTTGCTGTTTTGAAGCTTTCTTTCCTTTCTCTAAAAGAAGAATAGAAATAGCAGTCCCCCTTCGCACGCCGATTGACTGCTATTTTCATCGTTCTACGATCAGCTGTTCCCAAAGTACGCGCTTATACTCAGGGGACGCCACTGTGATATTGAGGACGCTTTTATTTGAAGGCTCAAAGAGAGGAGTGAACCATCTTGTAATGCAGGATGTTTGGGTTGAAGCCAGTAGAAAATTGTAATTTGGGGGTGGAAATCTATTTAAACGATCACAATTTGGAAAATCTCAGCTTCAGCTGCTATCCACTCCATGTAGCGGATTGGTTTAGTTGAGTCGCGGCTTTATTGAGTTCTTTCTTAATATCCGAATTTTCGTTCATCAGTGCAAGATGAAATATTATTATGGAGTTTAAAGAATGTCTAGATTTTTTACGATATCTGGTGGGGTTTTTTTTGGTGTTTTGGGATTTTTTTTTCAAGCTTACAGAGTGGAACTGTGCTTTTTTACCCCCAGACTTACATGTGTAAATGGTGTGGCACTCGGTATTGTAAGGAATGTATGCACGGAGAGTTCACGGGGACCATGAAGGAAGAGACCAGGTGTGCAAAGTGTAATCAGGTATGGTAAAATATATTGCATTTAAATGTATATTTTTTTCCTCTTTATTTTCTCGTTTCGTTTACAATTTTTTACATTTGTACGGCATCGAGGTGAAATCAGGAGCTCCTCAAAATAATTAAAAGGAAGAAAGAGACAGTTCCCCACCCCTTTGGCAGTTTTTTTATCTGCACATTTTATTTCTATTTTTGTGTGTTTTTTGTAGTTGAAACACGTTGATCAAGTGCAGAAAAAGTGCAATTTTCAGTTTCCTAGAACTATAAAAATTTGGATCTCACAAAATTTTGAAGGCCGCTCTCTTGTTTATTTTACCATTGACATCTAGCTCACTACCCTAGAATTACTGATTTTGAGAAAATTGAACTACAATATTTTGAGTTTCCCAACATGTCAAGATTCTTTTGAATGCAACTCTTTAAATATCTTGATGACATCTCTGAATAATCTTAACGATTTTGGTAGAGGAGATACAACATATAATTTGGTTTCTGACCTCCTGTTCTCCGTAACTAAAAATTGCTAAAATGTTAGATAGAACTTTATCACTGTTAGGTAGCGACCTGGTGACCCCGAACTAATTTAATCGCAAGTGTTTCGACTTGTATTCAATATTTGTGGGTATTTTAAAAATAAATCAAAATCAAAGCTGATGAACAAGATTTATGATGATACCAGTAACTTTGTATTGTCAGAAATTGACTAGTACCTAATGCCACTTTGTCGTAACACATTTTATTTTGTAAAATGACTATACTCTGAAAGACCAACCTACAAACTTATATTATGAGAGGCATTGTGGTAAAATGAGGCTCTCGTCAAAATATTGAAATCGAAGAAACGTGCATTTTCACGCCATTTTGGCAATTTTTATCGAATTTTTACTTTTTCGCTCAACACCTTCTATGTCTATGTAAAACACATTTCTGTGTGAATAAACTGGAAAATGTTGATTAAAGACTCAAAATATGTAATTTTTCAGTTTTCAACGACTCTCAAGTTATTTTGGTTACCGAACTTTGGCGGCCATTTTCTGAGTAATTTTACCACTGGAGCCAGGTGACCCCCAACACCTTCCATCTCAAATATGTCTATTCAAGATAGACGGGTAATTTTTTTCGTGAAAGTACTGCAAATGGGTCAGCTTTTAGATGATACCAATAACGCCACATGACCAAAAATTGACGAGCGCCTGACTGTACCGCTTCGTGACACATATGACTATGTTGTTAACGCATATCTAGTATGAGTGGTGCAAGCTTTTTTTTTTTAATTGCTGACGTTGAACTTAAAACCAAACTAATGTAATTATGCCAAACTGTAAATTATTATTTTAGATACATTTTACAACTCAAAAGAAGTCAAAGACCACTATATAAAGTCTTTTTCTAAGTGAGTGCTTAAAAGCCAGCATGTTCGATATAGGATAATTAAGTTAACCCGTTACGCTTTGTACAGTAATGATTTGGAGTGTCCAGTCCCAGATGTTGCATGAGGCACTACCACTATCAAAAAGTCTCGCGGAGCAAACTTTTTTAAAAAAGAGGCATAAAAGGTATGTAGCCACCATAAGCATTGAAGCAGTAGTCACAACTTTGCTTCATGAATTGAATACGAGTGAGCTGTGGTATGTCTGCCATTCTCATGTAGAGAATACTTACGTTGTTGTTTTTTAGTTCAAGTAAGTGTTTTATGGCCTTTGTAACATTAGGCCAAATATAAGTGCCGAAGACTAGAGGTGTTACAAGAAAGTTAGTAAGAAACACGAAAAAAAAGGAGGATGGATAAAGATAATAGCAAGTTGATAGGTAAGAAGGAGCAAACCACACCAGAGCACCGGCCAACCAACCACGGAAGATAATACGAAAGAGTTTACCTTTGTAGTCGGGCGGAGGTTGATGAGTTCTTTGTGACACCCAGAAATGTTATTGTTTTAGTTAGTGTGTTACGCGCCCACAACTGCATAAGCTCATATCATTTTATGAGCCCAAGGTGTGGATGTCAACAGAGAAGTCCACACGAGAAATCACGCTTACTCTCCTCATAGTTTCTCGTCTTCTGTTGTATGTATGTTTGTCACCCTCTTGTGAACTGCTATTTCTGGGGTGCCTTAATAGTCGAAGCAGACTTTGTGCTGTTGAGGCTAGAGAGGTGAGCAGAGTAGCCTTTTAGGAGTTCCCCCAAGGTTGTTCCAGCACAGTATGAGCACAGTATGAGCATAACCTTTATAAATCAGCCCATTAACAATTCTACTCTATGCATAATAAGTACGCCATGTTAATATCCACCTTTTGGAATGGCCTTAAGACAACTTCAGCCAGTAGCACTGCCCTGGTGTGGGGAGAAATGTTTTACGGGGTTGAGATGAGGTGACGAGCAGATAGGACAGTCCATCCAGTGTCTACTCGGTGATGCTGCAGGACAGTCTCCAGGACCAGGGCATGGTGAAACGAAGGAGGGGAGGGGGGGTTATCGGTAGCGGTCGTGTCCTATACGTGTTCAGGCATGAGACAGACGTTAAATCTAGATAATTTGGCGCTATGCTTTGCACTCCCCCCCCCCCCCCCCCCCAAACATAGCTGGTTGCTTCGATTCTGCCTGTCCAAGCCAAAGTGGGAATAGCGGGATACTACATAACAGCAGACAGACGGAAATATTAGACAAAAAATCTTCGTCACTCGTTAATAGAATTCGTGTATTCTGCAAACAAAAGGTGAAAACCTTATTCCCGACACCACAAAGACGGTTATTTAAAGTTATTTTTAGATTATATTACGATTGATATGTGCATTTGAATCTTTGCTCAGGTGTGAGTTGATCCTCTTTTCCTGTCAAACATCCATTATTGTCCTTACCTCTCCTCCTCCTTTTATTATTATAATACTCTCTAATAATACCTCCAATCCTCGGCACTTATATTATGATCCAATTGTATTGCAACTTCAGTCAAATTGTTACTAAAAACTAAAAAGAATCTTTCCAGCCAAAATGCCAGGGCAAGAAGGTGGAGGCCATTCTGAAGGAGTACATCAAAGACGACGAGGGTGGTGGGAAAAGAGGCGCAAAATCGGCCGGATCATCGAGGAGCAGAAGCGCGAGCCCAAGCAAGAAAAGTAAAAGTGCAGGAGGAAGTAAGAAATCCGCGAAAGGGAAGTCAAAGAAAAGTGGGAAGAAAAAGAAAGGTAGTAAGAAATGAAACAATGTAATAGTATGTCGTTGTCATGGATGTATAATGTTCCTTTGTTTCAAAGATCTGTTATACTGAGTCAGTTTGTTCTATATCTGTCAGATGTGCGGACTTTCCGGATAAATAATACAAATCCTGATTTCTGACATTGTCTAGAATTAATAATATTGTACTTCTGTTCATACATTTATTTACTATTTTAATCTCTTCTTGAATGTCATTGTATTGAATTTTATATCAAACTAGTCTTTATACGAGATGCATTAGACACAATCATCTGTGATATTGGCGTGCATTTTCAAGGGGTCAACAAACGTCAGCATTATTATTTCGATTGCCAGTTGTCATTTATAATCAGTTTTGATATGTAGTTACAGAACACAAAAATCATCTCTCAATAATCATTTCTGCGGTTAAAGCAAAGAGTGTAAGTGAAAACCGGACTACTAAGTCACTTTAATACTCCTTATCTTTGCCAAAGATTCGCTTTTTAAAAAACTTTTGTAATGGTAGGCTTGGCGTTTTCGTAATTTTATTTCCCTTTCTGCTGTTCTCTGAATGTCTTAGATTTTTTACTTTGTACAGTTCATCGGGAATTTCCACATATTACTCTAATAGGGTAGTATCCAGATGATTTTATTCTAAAGAGGTAATTACACTGATTTTAAAATGAACCTTTCAAATTTTCATTGAACAGATGGTTTTTGTAGCTTGACTTCAGATATATACTAAGATTTAGTGCGCTAGGGAATGACTCTCAATTTATTTTCTCGTATGTGTCACTTAAAGGTTTGTTCTTTAAAATTTAATAAGTATAAGTATACCCTCAGCTTGTTCACAGACCGATACGAATTTATGCGATGCGTCTTTTATAGCATTGAACTAACAACGTTAAATTTTTATATTAGAGGTTTCAATTATCACATTTCATAATTACATTAAAGTTGTAATCTTTCTTTCTTTCTTTCTTTCTTTCTTTCTTTCTTTCTTTCTTTCTTTCTTTCTTTCTTTCTCTCTTTTGATTTCGTTCTTTCTCTATTTTTTTGGTATGTTTATAATGTGTAAAGGGCCCTGAACACTTTTGCTTTGTGGAGATGAGCGAAGTAAGTGACATGTCCTATCATTACAGGTGTGAAGCTGATTGTAGTTGTGCACGTTGTATGCTTATGTTGCTCTTGACCAATGCTTCTCTAACCCC